AAATCAGACGACCAATGTAACCAAAATGCATAAAATAGACCTGGTGTAATCACTTGGACTCCTTCCCTATGTGACATATGGGGCACGCTTGATAAAAAAAAATAATAAAAAGATCCTATAAGTTTCAGCCACCCATTCACAGAGGGGCTGAGTACACTTAAAAGTAATAATGCTTGGCAATGTAAAATTGGTATTACTATCATCAAGCTTATTTACATTTGGAAATGAATCAATCTGAAGCGAAAGATTTTCTCGTTATGGTCAATAAATTGAAGATCTGATTAAAATACGAGCAACATATTTCGGTTCTATCCCCATCTATTAACATGCGTATAAAGTTGGGCCCACAGAAGTGAATCTGATTGAACACTGCACAACTTTACTGTAACCTACTTTATTTCATTTTCAATTGAAAGGTTTTCAAAGTTGACATCAGATTCGCCGTTGATTTTACAGTATAGTGGTGCGAATTTTGAACGTAATGATGAAAATTGTAATTCTGATAATAAGCAATAAAATCCACAAATCAGTATGAAAAAAAGTTAATCTCATAACAAATAAATGTCAGGTGAAAAGCACATGTATTCTATTTAAAGAAAAACTATCAACATAGGCAGCTCACCATGTCATAATTCAGTTTACATTTTAAATAATTAAAAAAGATTACCAATTTCTGGCAATTTTAGAACAATTAGTCTTGTCTACTAGATTTCATAAAGGAAGATTATCTTTTGAACCAACATTGTATAAGCATCTTCATCTAATTTCATTTATATGAAACTAGAAAACAACATACTTTTTTTACGAATTATCTTAAATTGCAATGAACATAAATATCAGAAATAGACATATTAACAGTTTTAAACTATCACAGTCAGATGGCAGTGTGACGATATGTAAAGAAACAGCAATCGTACATAAATCATAGATAGATAGATGGATTATTCAAAATGAAAAAGCTTTCCAAAGGGGACATCAAAGTATAAATGTTATCTCAAAACGGTTAGTGAAGATATTGTCTTTCATTTTCAGGCATAGTAACTCACTGTTTTGATTTAGTTGCATAGTAGAATCACAACAGTGGCGAGGTGTTCTATATCTCAATTTAGGAAACAGATAGGAATCTAAATTTCTATAATATCACCTCATTGCACGAGCTAGACAAAATAAAAATATTAGCGGTCACACAGGGTGTGACCGCCAATTGGGCGGATCCCAACTGTGTTTTTTTAAATAGCAACCTATATTTTTTATTACTTTTTCGGTTTCTACATAGAAAATAAAAGACACTTTATGTATATCTTCACTTCGAAAATATTGACGGTTCTCGAGATATCTAGCATGACAGTTTTTTTTTTCCAATATTCGTCACTCAGAATATTTGAAATTATAAAGTTGTGCCAAGTCCAATTGTATTTTTTTTGATCAAATATTCTAAAGTGGTAACTCTCTCAAACGATATATCTGAAGTCGACCAGTAATATACAGGGTATGAAAAACGCTTGTCACATATTGTAAATAAAAATTTGCAGAATCTTCCTTATTCTAAATGGAACACCCTGTATATTATTGATTCAGAAGGAGCGTCAACGAAACCTCTACGAATTTCATTGAGTATTTCCTATGGCTAGGTTCAATAGTTTTTTTTAAAAAAACATTTCTTTCGGAAAATGGTCGTTCTTCCTATTTCTACGCCATAAACTCGATGAAAGACTTTTTTCAAAGCGTAATCCATTTGACGACTGATAAGAATGTACGAAAGATATCTTGTTTCAATTTTGAACATTATAGCGTGTCCAAACAAATATTTTTTTACGAAATAAATGTTTGTAGCTATCACATTTTTCTAAATGGAAAATTATTTTTTTCATTGGATGCAGAATTTTTCCCGTAAATCGTGCAATATCAAACCAAACAAGATTAAGTGAAAAAACATTGTGAATATTACTAATTTTTTTTCATGTTATGGTGTATATTCATGATTTATTCAGGGCTTAAGTTCTAGATATTTAAATTTGTCAATTGATAAACTACAATACTAAAGAAGAAAGAGTTTAATGAAGGTTGATAATGAAACTTTTATAAAATATGTTCGACATGTCTTCCACTTTCTTGAATGCAGAGCTGAAGTCTATGTTTGAAATACTGTTCTATCCTGCGTAAGATAGCTGGTGTTATGTTGCCAAAAGAATTCGTTATTTTAAGTCGCATATTTTCCGAAGAAGCTGGTGCCTAGGTGGCTCGGTGAATAAGAAAAAATCCAGTTTTGTTAAATCTGGTGATCTAGCTTCATTTAGATGATATCTCACTTCTGCCGAATAGTGAGCAGGTGCACATACATTGTTCCATTCATATGTCCCTAAAAAAAGTATGGACCAATTACATATTCTCCAATGAGACATTCTCCAGACATTTATCGACCATCTATATTGATAGTCCACCTGTCTCAATAAGTGGGGATTTTCTGTCGAATAATAATGGTAATTATGTCGATTCACAAATCCATTTTTATGGAATGTCGATTCATCCGACCATAAAATGTTATTGAAAAAATATTCGTTTCGACGAATTTTTCCCATGGCCCAATTGGAAAATCTCACTCTTTCCTCAAAATCGGTATACAGTAGTATGAGATGGATGACAGCTTTGTTTCTTCAAAACTCGTTGCACTGATCTCTCACTTATATCTACTATTTCACCAATTTGTCGTTGACTCCTACTAGGATCTTCTTCAACAGCAAGAAGAACTTGCAATTCATTATCTTCATTAGTGGCTGGCTTGATGCGCTCATGTTTAGAATAATTGATACATCCAGTTTCAACAAATCTTTAATTTTATTTTATTCCCTGAAGGTTGTTTCAGACCGAAAAAATATGGCACAAACTTCGAGATTATTGAAATTATTGTAATTATTCAAGAACGTACATTTTGCGGGGTAATTCAAAACTTGTTTATCTAGCAACAGGTAATTTTAGGCATGGGGCGATATTTTAAGGAAAGGCTTGGACAAAAACTATGCATCAAATGAAGAAATTGCACGGTATTCTATTTAGAGAATAAATGTGTTATAAACATAATATATATCTCGATCACAGCCGTCACATATGGATTTCACAGTAAAAAAAGCATTGATATTATGGCGATAAAATAGAGAGTTGTCATTTTTAGAAAAAATAAATAAAAAATAAGAAAAACTATAGGACACGCTTTTATATGTTAAATCTGTGAATAAGCTAGACGTGTTTTCAATCGCTCTTCGATGAATTCAAGTTTCTCTTATTAATATTTATCAAAAATTAGTGAATATTGGATCTCCATTAGTTCGTAGTGTGAAGAATCCATCAGTGCAGTTCAAGTAAAAATTATTCATTCCTCTTAAGTGCAGTTGAAATTATAAAGTTCATCGAAATGTCAAGCAAATGTGTAAAATGCACAAAAACATTAGGTGAGAAATCACCAGGTATTCAATGTGGTTTTTGTACTCGAGTATTTCATACCAGATGTTTGGGTTTTTCTAGAGAGCAAAGTGCTTTATTTAGCGATACTCCAGGAATTATTTATAAATGCGAAGAATGCATAGGCGGAGGTACGGAAAAAACTGAAGGTACTAATTGTGGAAGTTGTCTAAAACTCTCCCAAGCTATTAAGGAGTTATCTGAACTTGTGAAAAACCTGCAACAGGAGGTGATGCAATTGAAAATGAATAAAAACCAGGATATTACAGAAGTTATAATAAACGAAGTATCTGAACGACAGCGCAGAGAAAAAAATCTAATTATATACAAACTTGATGGGGATGATCAAGACACCGATCTGAACAAAACTATTAAAATCATCAAGACCATAGCACCAACTGTAGTTCGTTTATGGCGTAGAAATAGGAAGAACGACCATTTTTCGAAAAAAATTCTTTTTTAAGAAAAACTATTGAACTTGACCATAGGGAATACAAAATGGAATTAGTAGAAGTTTTGTTGACGCTCCTTATGGATCAATAATATACAGGGTGTTCCATTTAAAATGAGGAAGATTCTGCAAATTTTTGTTCACAATATGAGGCAAGCGGTTTTTCTTACCCTGTATATCACAGGTAGACTTCAGATACATCGTTTGAAAGAGTTACCACTGTAGAATATTTGATCAAGAAAAAAATACAATTGGACTTCGCACAACTTTATAATTTCAAATATTCTGAGTGACGAATATTGGAAAAAAAACTTGTCATGCTAGATATCTCGCAAACCATTAATATTTTCGAAGTGAAGATATACATAAAGTGTCTTTCATTTTCTATGTAGAAACCGAAAAAACGATAAAAAATATAGGTTGCCATTCGAAAAAACACAGTTGGGATCCGCCCAGAAAAAATTGAACACTCTGTGTGACCGCCAATATTTTTATTTTGTCGAGCTCGAGTAATAAGGTAATATTATAGAAATTTAGATTTCTATCTGTTTTCTAAATAGAGATATGGAACACCGCGCCAGTGTTGCAGGACCCTGTATAAGTATAACCACAGTATACTTATGCAAGTATACTTATATACAGTATACTGTGGTAGAACCATTGTCTAAATCCTTAGACAATGGTAGAACACTAATAATACAATTTCCTAAAATACAGTAAGTTATTATTTACAAGCTATTACAAAGTTATTTGTTTCATGTTTTTTGATATGTGACTTCAATTTTTTAGCTGATGCGAACATTTTCGGTTTTTGAAACAATTTGATAATAAATACTCATCAGAACTCTTGCACATTGGGAGCAAGTCTCGTTGTATAGAAAAAAATAAACTCTTTTTGTGTTTCTCGATCACAAAGTCATTAATTTAAAAACAGCATATTCTGTTGGTAGTCTATAGACTATTACAAATATGTAACGTTGCATCGTTCAATTCCATAGATTTAACTGAAAGTTATACTCGTAACTTTCAATGGGAAATTCTACAGTACTTCTTGAAGGAATGAAATACATTCTCGCAAAAAAAAACTTTACCACAACGAATAAGAATGTATATTATACGAAGTCATAAAGAAAATGTTTACAAGCCCTCCCAAACTAAATTATTAATGTGATAAAGATATTCTCAACGTTCCAAATAACAAATCATCGATAACAAAAATAGATTCTAATGTTGACAATTAATATCTAATAGGGGTCCAGGTGCCAGAATGCTCATCCCTCCGGTAGTAGTGGGGCCGATTGTCTCTGAACACAGTCACAGCCGGAAATTGATTTTCTTGAATGTATCTCAGAGTTGCTCTTATCTGGATGAATAAAATAATATTATATATCCATTATTTATCACTTCAAACACATGTACGATATCAAATATTATAACAGAACTGATTTAGTTGTTGGAATGTGGTTTACATAGATTCCTAACCTGAAAGTATAAAAATTAGGCGAATATATAAAACTGAAAATTATAAATTCATTGTATTTGAATGAGTTGACACAAAATGTAATATAAAATTATTGAATGAAGAGTCAGAAAATGTAAGAATGAAAATAATCTAAAAATGAAAGCTTGGTCGAAGGAAACTTTGCAAATATCAACAAGTTAACTGTTGAGAATATAAAAGATGTAGGAAAATGAAATTGTTTTAATACTTTGGAGTCCAACATAAGTTTGTTTTCTCCTCATAAAAATAAACAAGATATCTTTGCGTATTGTGAGATAATCTGAATGAAATACTGAGTTACTCTTGTATTCGTTATAGAATTTATGAGCAAATAAAATCTCTTGGATGTTATAGAAAATGTAAAATATCAAGGCAACGTCGCAAAACCTATGTTGTATTTCAGCATTTATTTCATTTCAAAGTAAATTGCAGATATCTCTAGGACAAAGATTCGTTATTTTATTGGGTAGTGCCTATACATGTTAGGCTCAGCATTCTCATACAATTTATGAAAGTAGAGTAATTGGTCTCATATTAGTCTTATCTCAAAATGCTTTTCAAGAAAGTGAAAGAGCATGGCGTTGTTCCACGATATTTTTATTTCTTGAGTTCAACATACATATCCTTGCAAAGAAACGAATCAAATAAGAGGTAGAAGTGAAGATTCAAAAAGGGATAACGGTCATAAAAATGTCACCTGCAGACCAAGAGACCCCCACCGTATTTCTGAGGACAATTCTCCATAAGCTTGAAATCGAAGATGTTCTGCAGAATGAAGGTTTCAGCAGGTACCAAGTTGATAGAGAGGCAAGTATAACATATTTTGAAAACACAACAACTGAGAAATGAGCAAGCTGCCCCACCTGTATGAACTATCCATCCAAACTCATAAAAAGAGTGTTCTACAGACCAATCATATATTTCATTACTCTTGGAACCAACATTGAGGAAAAAATACGTTACATGGCGAAACCAACTGATCCGTTTCAATGTAGGAAATATTACTGGAGTAATATTCATTACTACATCAAAGATTTCAAACAGTGCATCAATGTAGGGACCTTTTATACTGAAGTTCCCGTTGGAGAATTTCAGGTTTTCAGCAAAAAAAATTGGGGGATGGCGATATAGCCAGAAAGAAGTTACTGTTGGAAGAAATCGTAGAATTGTTATAATTCTGCGTTCTGATATGCTACTTCCAACTGACAGATGACTGCTTCACACAAGAAGATGGCTACGATTTGGACTGTCACCTTTCATAGCCAATTCAAACATGGAGTCATTCAAGGTGCTGGCTATAAAATAAGTCAACATGAAGTCGCCAATTTGGTTAAGATATATAAAAGATACGTCTATGCTATGGTATGGTACCATGGAAACAGCTGTAGGCGAGTACATCAAGTGGGATCTTCGGCAGCCTGAATACTCCAAGAAACTGGTGGGATAAATTTTGGCGGTCACGAGCAGCTTTGTTTTTTTTCTTTTGAAAATACTGAAGAAGGATTGGATCTGAATCGGCACCTGCTTCAGATATGATCAAACAATTCGCAGCAATATCAAGAAGATTGAACCATCAATGTGAAACAGCGGTTTCAATAACTTCATCTGCTTGATATCTTATGAATGTGGAGAATTTAACTTCGGTGCAACTGACAGGTCACTGAACGTCTTTATTTCTCTGAAGATCGGGAGAGAGATCCAACGATTGAAACTTGTTGTAAGTTCCAAAAAGTGGCATATTTTCTGGGTATTGAGAGACATTTCAATAGACTGAATACATTGGTTATGATAAATATACTGGCCGTCCAATAACAAGCCGTTCAAAAGTCCAGTGACCATACAGAGCGAGGAGAGTTGGCTGAATGAAACAATAATTGTCAAAAAGTGGATGCTGAATTTTATAGCAAAATTAGCCTGAACGACCATACGCATTTGCAACTTGATATCTTCCTACATTGACAAAATTGCCGCACACTGAGGAAACAACAATTGCAAAAACTGTAAGTTTGATTTTTATGAATTGTTGTGTACATTTTGGGATACCCATTAGATCATCAGAAAATGCTGGAAAAATAACTAATGCCTGTCTGCTTAGTTTTTGCAATGCTGCTTTCAAGATATTCGTATTCATCCCATGAATCTACTGCATAGATAACAAAGAGTTGGCTTATGTTTAACTCATGCGCAATATATATTAATATACAAACCTCCATAACAAAATGGGGCGGTTCAACTTCTGGAGAAGTTGACAGATGTTGCAAAATAAAATCATCAGTCTGGGATAGCCATAAATCTACACCCCTGAGTGGTTCATAGTTGAAAGGTCCGATTCTCAATAAACCCAAATTGCAGTCGTAGATATCTAGAACCTGTAACATGAAATCACAAAAATATTTAAACAATTAAAACTATAAAAAATAAATAATGAATGATAAATGAATATTACTGGAGCTATATCCCAACATCAAACTGTTATTTTAGCACCTCAACATGTATTTCTATCACCAAGTGATCATCTTCAAGAGGAAGATTAAACTAAATATACATAAGTACAATGTTATCCTTATTTATACCATAAATACCCCTGCTAGGTACCTACGTCTTGAGTGTCCTGAATTAATTTCACAAGGTTCTCCCTGGAAACGGTTTTGTTTCATACAGAAATTAGTGAGAGTGAATCACAAGTAATAAATGATAAATAATGAATAATAAGATAGAATAGAATAAGATAGAACTTTGTTTCAGAAACGGTTTCAATCACAAAACATTATAATAGGGGAACCCAAGCGGGCATTTCGGGATTTACTAAAGCGCGGCAGATTAATATACAGGGGGATACCTTGTACCCGGTTAAGTACCTCCACCGAATATGAGCCCCATATATAAGGCCGCCTGTGAGGGATGAAGGATCAGATTAGTAAAAAAATTTGATCATCAGAAATTCTCGAGCGCGTCAGATTGAGGTAGCGTGAGTTAATAACCTGCTAAAAAGTGTATATTTCAGTAATCTGACAATTTGAGAGTGACGTAAAGAAAGGTGAGGTCAGCAAAGTTGTAAAAAAATAACGTCTTTTTGACATTCTCGAGCGTAGCTAATTTTTTTCATTTCGAAAGGAATAATTCAAGAATAACGAAAAATATATAATCTGACGATTTCCGCAAGCTGAAATAACAAAAATTCGTCGATAAGTTTTAATGCGTGCAGCTGTGTGATACCTATATTTCCCTCTGCTAGTTTCTATTCCTCTATTCTCTATTCACTTCTTCTCTATCTATTACTCTCTCACTCCGTCACCACTCTGATTTCTGTTGCCATGACAGAGACTCGTTAGTGATGAAGATGAAGCTGATGAATAATTAATCAATTAATTAATGGATGTAGCCGTTACTACGTGGTAGGAAATTATAATGAAGAAAAGAGAAATTGAATTTTCTATTTTTTTTGCCACTTTTATTTGTAACTAACGTTACTGCAGTTTCGTCCTATGAAGACATTTTCAAACTTATACAATATATAAGGATATTTTCAAACCTATACAATATATAAAACATAGAAAGTTGAGTTCCTTCTTTCTTCATTAATTAATCAATTGATTATATATCGTCAGATTATGAGACATCACGTCTAAAACATAAAGATGAACCATATATATCTTAATCTGACGCGCTTGAGTATTTCAAAATGGAGAATTTTTTTTGCACATTATAATGATTGCCGCGAGTTTGCGTCAGTACGAAATCGTCAGATTATTGAATGAGAGCTTTTTTTTGTTGCACTTACGCGCTCTGACGCGTTCGATTAAATTTTTTTTCACTTTCAACCCTTACGTACAACCACCCACATCATGCAAACGATCAGACTAACATACCAACATTATTAAAAATACGTAGATATTGATGCTATCAATATCTGACGCGCTCGAGTACCTATGTCCATGCAACAGTATTTTTATACATATTTAAAAATCTATAGCCGCTTCCCCCACCGATGAAAATGTATATATTATATAACATTTTTTCATCTTATCATCTAAGCTTTGCAACCTAATATGTCTCAATGACGCTCGTGTAAATCCCCATTTTGCATCATGGGCTCCCCTGCTATTAGTGAAGATACCTACATATTGTAACAATTGAGCAGAATATAAATACCAGGTACAAATGGATTTGTTGTTAACAACTCAGTCGACTCTATCAAACATTATAAAATTTGTTTACCAAAATATCCTGCTGAGATTTGAGAAGTTATCTCCAAAAAAAGTGTTTAATGAAACTTGTGAAACACTTGTTGATTGTGTATGACTATAGTTATTTAGGGTACGATGAATTGTATTTTTGATGAGTTCACTTTTCAAACGAGTATTTCTAACAATATTCATCTATCTTATTAGTCAATGGACTATGCTTGAAGACTAGCAATAAAAAAATCTGAAGAAATGAACTTTAAACGTTCAAGCCTGTCTCGACTGACGTTTATCAAAAAACAACTACTCTCCTGGCTAATACAACGAAACTTTTTTTATGCAGGAAATTTGAAATCAAGACCAAAACTAACTTGAACTTTGATTCTCCCTACAAGAATAACATGTATTATGTTTCAATTGAATTACTTTTCAAAGCCTGAAATGTTGACACCAACAAATGTGATGTTAATTGTGCATATCCACTCAAGTACCTAATAGTGATCCACCCACCCAATTAAAAAAAATATTACCTGTGGCACTCCAGTTAGATATCGAGCACATCTCAATGAGTGATCAGGACCCTTATCAGGAAAACTAGCAGGAAAAATTTCTCCTGTTTTCACGTTAACACCAACTCCATAGATGATGGGCCAGTGTATTCCACCTCTTATAGTTGTATTGAGTTCTCCCAGACAAGCTAGTGTCAGATCTATCTCCACTGGATGCTTGTGAAAGGAGTCTGAAAATGTTATATATTGGTTTCATCTGTTTATTTTGAACGGTTATATATAAGTGAATTATTACTCAATTCAATCGAAATGAGCGCCATTATAACCAGTGAAATTTCGCAAACGTAACACAAGTTGATTCATTCCATTAGCATGAAAATGGTGTGCTCTGGATTCGATGAAGAAGACGAAAGCCGTTTTTGTCTGCTCCTGATTGGCGAAGATTCTGCCGGTGAAAAAAAATAAGTAGTGCTTGAAAAGATGGTAGTCGGTTGGTGAGAGGTCTGGGAAATATAATGGGTGAGACAGAAGTTTGACGCTCAAATTGTTCATTACAAAGATTCTGAAAGAATCGATGATAATACAAGAATTCATAAGGTAAACCAGAATGGAGAACCAGATAAAAAGATCATGAAAAGACAACGTAGAAAAAGAATTGGAGTATGAACATTATAATTACTATCATCTATCCCAAAGCACCTACACAGAAGGTTCTGGTCAATGCCTACCGATAAGCAACTATTTTCTCAGGTGAAACCACGATGGATATTGAATTATATCTGGCAGAACTCATAGAGGTTATTCTTGAAGATGTTTCTCGTGCATCTAGGACCAGCACCACGCTGAAATCAGTCGACTAGATCACCTGGTTCCAAAGTATTACCTCTCATCAGTGCAGTGCAGGAAACTTTTGTATTTGAGAAAAATTGTTAACTAGTACCTATCTGCCCTATCTCGTGAACAAAGGCCCAAACGGGAAAGAAACACCTCGTGTAGCAATACCATGACAGACAACAAAATAAGTCTGAAATATGATAATAGGGGAGAGTGGGGTAATGACAGTCAAGGGGTAATCGTGGTCGGTATAATATCTCGGTAACGACGGTAACGCAGATCGCTCTGATCGGTGCTGCCTGCTTGCGGCACGATCTTGAATTACTACTCGAACGCGCGCCATCTTGGCAGTCGTCGTTTGGACGTTGAGTGAGTTGGAGTGTTTTTATGTTGCGCCTCATTAGAAAACCTGTCGTTTAAAGTGCTGTTTTCACACGTTTCACTGTTCCCGCTGATAAACCAATGGTCACACAGTATCAAGGTAAGCCCCATTACTATAACCATTGCTGTTTATGAAGGTATTATAACAGGTTGTTGTTGATTTTTTCTTGTGAAATAAAACCATGCGTTCGGGGTAATGGTAGTCATACTGTTTGGGGTAATGGCAGTGTTTATGTCAACTGACCATCATTACCCCATTCGTTATCAATTTTTGTTTTGTATGTTTCAGATGGCGAGGAAGTATATTAGAAAAACTGAAAAAGCTAAGTGGACAGCAGAAGACCTTAAAAAAGCTAAACAGGCTGTTGATAATGGCTATCAATGAGAAAGGCCGCGGAAAATTTTGGAATACCCTTTAGCACATTACAAGTCCGATTAAAGAGCGGTACTGATTCTGACCCACGCTTAGGCAGGAAATGTGACTTTCCACGAAGAAGCTCTAGCTGATCATGTAAAGACACTGTCTAAAATTTTCTATGGAATTACAGCAATAAAGTTAAGGAAAATTGCGTTTGAATATGCAGAAAAGAATCATTTAAAACATAGGTTTAACAAAGACACTAAAATGGCTGGCTTAGACTGGATGTATGGTTTTATGCAAAGACACAAGATAAGTGTTAGAAAACCTGAAGCCACAAGCGTAGGAAGAGCTGTAGGGTTTAACAAACAAGAAGTCAATCGTTTTTTTAGTAATTTGGAAGAAGCAGTTGATAAATATAAGTTCAAGGATACAAACATATGGAATGTTGATGAAACAGGGATAACGACAGTGCAGGACCCTGGTCTAATTTTAGCAGAGAGGGGGCAAAAACGTGTTGGCTCCATTACCAGCTGGGAAAGAGGCAAAAACATTACCGTTGTATGTGCTATGAGCACAGGGGGGTCCTACGTCCCTCCTATGTTCATTTTTCCAAGGACGCGTATGTCCCAGTTGTTGGAAAAAAATGGGCCACCGGGATCAATCTACGGCTGTTCAAAGACTGGATGGATAAATGAAGAGCTGTTTTTAACTTGGTTACAACACTTCGCTGAATTTACTCACACAAGTGTAGAGAACAAAATGCTTCTCATATTAGACAACCACAGCACACATTGCTCCGCTGAGGCTTATGCCTTTTGCAGGGAGAATGGAGTGGTTATGGTTTCCTTACCACCGCATATATCGCATAGGCTTCAGCCTTTAGATGTAGTATTTTATTCACCATTGAAATCTGCATATAAGAGGGAGTGTGATTTGTTCATGAAGTCTAAGAACTTAGTGAAGATAACACCATATGATGTAGCCGAGCTTTTTAACAAAGCTTACTCATTAGTTGCTACCATTGCTAAAGCAACAAGTGGATTCAAAAACACTGGGATACATCCATTAAATCCGGGAATCTTTACTGATGAAGACTTCTTGGTAGAAGACATTCTTCAAAAGAATAAGGACTCGACACCAGTGTGTGTGGAAGATACAGTGATTGCTAATAATGAAAACAACCTGCAAAGACCTGTGAAGTCACCTGCAAAGACTGTTGGTATTAATCAGTCCAACCCTATCCAAGTTCCCATTCAAGTTTTTTCTCCTATACCCGGATGCAGCACTTCTACCGATGTGCCAACAAGAGGAGCAAGACCTAAGCAGCATTCAGAGATCTTGACCTCTACTCCCATGAAAGAGCGACTTCAAGAAAAAAAGAGAAAGAAAGAAGAAAAGGAAAAAAAGTCTAAGGAAAAACGAGAAAGAAAAGGTCAGCAATGTGCAATGAAGACTAAGATAAAGAAAGAAAAGGTAGAAAAGAAGGGTACAAAATTTGCTGCGATTAAAAAGCATTCACAGCTACAGCATAAGAACATGAAAAGGACATTGTTTGAATCGGACACAGATATGACATTAGCCTATCGGACATTGGAAAAGACGTTTGCTTTTATTGCGAAGATACAGGCAAAGATGGTGAAATGTGGTATAGATGCACGTCTTGTGGTTTGTGGGTCCATGCTGAATGCTCTGGATGGGACACTCCCGAAGACTATTTGTGCGATCGCTGCTCAAAGAAGTAGATTTGTAATTTTATCGAATCAACTTGTATTTTAATAAAATAATTGACAGGATATACCGATAACTCATGATTATATCATTGAAATACCCAGGGTCGGGGTAATACCAGTCAAAGCTGATATTTTTTGTTTTTGGTGTGAACATAAAAAAGTTAAGTTATAATTACATTTCAAGTCCTTGGTTACTTATGAGATGTTATAAGTATACTGTTAAGATCGCTAACATTTCAAAAGAGTGAAACAATCATTTTTTATGATTTTTCCCCCTTAGGTGACTACCATTACCCCAGTCTCCGTAAATTATGAGCAACTAAATTTCTGATAGAATGGGTATCAATTGCATATCCATTTTTTAAAAAAAGCTAAAATCTTTCTGTTTGCATGATTAATCTGAAGCGTTGAAGTAACATATCAGAGAGATAGCTTGAAAAAAAAAGTAAACTATTTTGTGTGAGACGGTATATACCTATGTATAAAAAAATCTGTTCAAAATTTGTTTTTCCGTTAACCAGCTGTGTCACGAGGTCTTACCTTTTAACCTGTGATTCCTAACACGGATTAGACGATAGCAAGTGAAAATCGATCGTTCAGATGAATGAATAGATTATAAAAAAAGAAAATGTTTTGTCACGAGAGAAAGATAATTTTTTAATATGTTTCAAAGAAAATCCACTCACTTATAACGTTGAAGAAAATTTCATCAGAATAATGTCGTGGGTCGTTGAATCCTCCTATCAGTTGAAGTTCTATTCTCCCTTCAGGATATCCCAGTGCTAGTTCTTGTACCCTCTGCACCATAGTGCAAACGGCTTCGTCAGTCCCAGATCCATCAAGATGAGCCATAGCTACCGCTCCTGAGCCTATAAAAATGAAATTACGTACAGGTGAATGGCAAAAGGTGAAAGGCAAAAACCTTCGTCATCAACAAACCGATGTAATACTATGACAAGGGAAAATATGTTATATTCATACAAAGAGGATGGGGTTACTTGTACTTCATAAGATACTAGCGAGCCGCCCCGGCTTCGCACGGGTGCAATGCTGATACCCGGTGCAATGCTGATACAAATAAACACGTGCGTTCGCTGCTAATCAAATCGGCCCGCAGGCCGATATCGCCGAAATCGCCATGTCCCTGCAGTTTAAAACTGTATCTCTGGCCGTGAAAGTTTACATTCTTCAATAGGGAAACTGGAAAATATAGAAAAACTCATCTCTTTCATCTTTAGAAATTAGTGTTTCCATGAAGACTTATCGCTCTGTGTCTGGCACGGAAATTCCAATGATAAATATTGTGCAATATGCAGGAAAAAAGGATATGGGAAAGGATTACAACCTCCACCTACCGGAGTAATTCAAATATTCATTTGAATTACATGTTGTAAAGGGCTAAATGATCTACTTCAATGCACAATGTATTTAAGGTACATAATTGGATAAGTATTAATGTTGTATTGCTTGAAATCGATTCGTGAATGAGCCCATAATAAAAAATTGTTATTTTGGGTTATCCCTAAGATATAGACATATACCATCGCGAACTTTGTTGTAGACCTTTTCAAGGTGTATATAATACTGTAGTACATCTTTTGATCTATCTCGTAGGATACAGCCAGCGTTTGCAATGTAAGCGCAAAAAATGTGTTTATTTAAGACATCACAATCAAAACCTCTAAAATTATCAGTGTTTCTCTACTATATCCCATATAGGCCGTTTCTTTTATCATGTGGTAACATTGCTAAACCATAATAGATACGAAGACGATTAAATGGTAACTGTCATCGGTATGATCGAAGAAAATTTACGGGGAATCTCGCCCTTCTCGAGTTATGAGGGAAAAACCAAAAATGCTGTTTTTCGTTTTTTTTTCGAATGAAATTATTATTTCGGAGAATACCAAAAATGGGAAAAAATCATTGTATTCAAAGTGTATTATGACGATGTAATAAATATTGGATAAAACGTTTCGTGTCGACATGGCCACTATCAACATTTTTTGTAAATACGGACCTGTCTTTTTTATTACAGATATTGATAAAGCGATAAATGCTCAATCCAAGGGTATATCACATTTGATATTTTTATAGCGTTTCATCAGTGACAACAATCAAACAGAACAACAATTTATTTCACATGGCAATCTACATTAAATGCTCGAATTGACGACCTCTGTGTTGAATGCACATAAGTCTGTCCAGACAATTTCTGTGGCAAATTTCTAGCATAATAGGTGTAATACTAATACATGCATCTTTTATTATTAGTTTGAGATGGTCGATATCTGTACTTGGTGTTGAAAAAACTTTATCCTTTATGTATCCCCAGACCAAAAATCTAAAGGAGTAAGAACTGGAGATCGAGCTGACCAGTTAATTGGTCCATTGTTTCCAATTATTTTTTTTGGGAATATTGCATCTAAATGTTCCCATACCATTGCAGTATTATGGGGAAGAGCGCCGTTCTGTTGGATGTTTGTTCCCACAATTCCAAACCAAACATTTATTTCGAACCTTTCTTGAAAATGGGTTTCCCTATGTAAATGTTCATTTGTATTATTACACCTATAATGGATATTTCTGTTAAACCAACCATTGTGGTGAATTTTGAATCGTCTGTTCATATTATTTTTATACAAATATTTCCAACGTCTCTATTTCTACGTCTCAACCACTTTGCAAATCGTCCTTTCCTTCCATAATCCCTTTCATCCAGGTGATGAACTTTGCGTATCCTGTAGCATTTATATTTGTTCTTTTTCTAAATTGTTCTGGTGGATTTTACAGAAATCCCCATTTCGTGGGCATTTTCTCGTAAAGAACAATCTTGATTAGCATAATTTTTGTAACTGGCCAATCCTAAAAAAAAAATGTTTTCACTGTGTAAACATTTATTTGATTCCTCACACTTCCAGTAACCACACATTCTCTTATTTTCTTTCTGTTGAATGCACTAGTCTCTCAAATTTCTTTCGTATCGTTTAAATATTTGGATGTTCGGAATACGACAATTCCGGTGTAGCTCAACATACATATTCCTTTTTCACAAACTACACCTAAACGATTTGATCTTCACAAACTTTATTGAAAAAATATATCACAACATGTTTCGCTAAACATTAGCTTTTTCAAGTGAGGTCACTTATCGAAACACGGCCACTATATTGTTACCACATGATTAAAGGAACGGCCTGTATACATGTTATATTCATATAACCCTTTTCATTGAATAACTCTATCTATTCATAATAACCCGCATCAACATCCGTCGCGTAGTTTTGAAGATCTAAGCATTCATAGTAGTAGGGGAGCCCACGATGCAAAATGGGGATTTACTCGAGCGTCATTGAGACATATTAGGTTGCAAAGCTCAGATGATAAGAAGAAAAAAATGTTATATAATATATACCTTTTCATTGGTGGGGGAAGCGGCTATAAATTTTTAATTATGTAAAAAAATACTGTTGCACGGATATACTCGAGCGCGTCAGATATTGATAGCATCAATGTCCTACGTATTTTTAATAATGTTGGTATGTTAATCTGATCGTTTGCATGATGTGGGTGGTTGAACGTAAGGGTTAAAAGTGAAAAGAAAAAAATGTAATCGAGCGCGTCAGACTTTCTAAGGGGGTGTTAACTGCAACAAAAAAAAAACCTCTCATTCAATAATCTGACGATTTCGATCTGACGCAAAATCGCGCCATTATTATAATGTGCAAAAAAAATTCGCCATTTTGAAATACTCAAGCGCGTCAGATTGAGATATATATGGTTCATCTTTATGTTCTAGACGTGCTGTCTCATAATCTGACGATTATCTAGAGGGATTTGCCTAATCTGACAAAAAACATATTTTTTTTCAATCATTGAACTTGATCAATGGAAAAGCTCAGGAAATAGCATGCAAATAAATGAGTGCACGTTTTTTAAGTAGAATACTTCAATTTTTTATAATCAATTGATCAATTAATCATCATCTCCATCACGAACGAGTCTCTGTGATCAATTGTGATGGCGTCACGGCAACAGAATTCTGAGTGGGAACGGAGTGAGAGAGTAATAGATAGAGAAAAAGTGAAATAGGAATAGAAACTCGGAAAGGGAAATGTAGGTATCACACAGCTGCACGCATTAAACTTTATCGACAAATTTTTGTTATTTCGGCTTGCGGAAATCGTCAGATAATATATTTTTCCCGCTATCCTTGAATTATTTCCTTCAAAATAAAAAAAAATTAGCTACGCTCGAGAATGTCGAAATGACGTTATTTTTTTACAACTTTGCTGCCTCCCCTTTCTTTACGTCACTCTCAAATTGTTAGATTACTGGAATATACACTTTTCAGCATGTAATTAACTCACCCTATTTTAATCTGACGCACTCGAGAATTTCTGATGATCATTTTTTTTGGTACTAATCTGATCCTTTTTCCTTCACGGGCAGCCTTATATATGGGGCTCATATTTGGTAGAGGTACTTAACTGGGTACAAGGTATCCCCCTGTATATTAATCTACCGCGCTTTAGTAAATCCAGAAATCTCCGCTTGGGCTCCCTTATTATAGGTTCAGACAGCGGGAAGCGACTTTGTTTCATACTACCTGAGCTAGAAAGTCAGACCTAACACCGCACCTAACACGTAGTCAAGTGCAGATCCATGGATGAAACATGGATCTATCACTTCACTATAGAATCAAAACGATCGTCATCTGAGTGGAGAGCAACTGATGAACCTCGTCCAAAGCACCTGAAAGCACAACAATCGGCTGGAAAGATTATGGCCTCGGTATTTTGGGATGTACTTACGTGGTCTAATATTCATCGACTATCTTGAGAAGGGAAATATCATCAACATTAAACGCATTTTTTTCTTTCTTAGCCCATGTAGTGATAGTGATCCAACTCCATCATTCATTCTATTCTCATATAACATTACTTGAAGCCAAGTTTTTCCAGATGGAAATAATATTACAAAAATAAACACAGAGACATTGTCAGCTCTGATACTCTACAGTTCACAAGGCTATAAGATTATAGTACGACATAAAATTCCAATGATTTGAAGATAAAGTTTCGAGCATTAATGTGAGGTTACACCTATACTAATTGCAGAGTACGGCAAGAAAATTAGTAGTTGCAAATCTGTGTTCGTCGAGTAGACATTGCCGCACGAAAAAATAAACACTATTGGACATTCCATTTCGTTATCATTATTATATTGGTATGTGAAATGAAACTGCTATTTAATTTGACTGTAATTCCTCCACAATGTACCTGCAGGTCTATCATTACGGATTTTGTAACACCTGCTATTCAGTTCATGACTGTAATTTCTTCTGTGATCAAGTACGTGCAGGAAAATCGATAAAATTGGGCCGTGCGCAATGGTTTATAAAAAAATGTTTTTGTCCCAGAGTGCTCAGAGTGATTTTCCATTCCCACTTCTAATTATTCATATTATTATTATTATCATAACATAATATTATATATAATATGTCAAGAAAGTACCGGGAATTGGTCGATGAAACGCAAAATATATATTCTTAATTCAAACTTATTGTATCGCCTCCCAAAATACACTTATGACTATGAACAACCCAATCCAATGAAAATTATTTTTTGAACTCATTCTTTTGGACCGACTATTTTGAACTGGTATTTTGAGTTTTGGAAAAATGAAAAAATCGATTGGAGCCATATCAGGTGAATACGGTGGCTTTTCGATATGAATTGTTGAGGTTTTGCCCAGAAATTCGTTCACAATGATAGCTATGTGAGATAGTGCGTTTTCGTGGTTCAAAATCCAAGATTCCTTTTGCAAGTCTTTGGTATTTTTCTCTCTCTCTCACAAACGCCACATA